GGCTTCCGAAGAGGAAGGCCTGGGACGGCTCAAAGGCAGGTGGAACCCACATCCCCACAGGTGGGAACATGGGGAACTCCAGTGAGCCGAAGCGAATCGTATTGCCTGAGCCCGCCACGGCGAGGGTGGCGGAAAAGTGGGCCATCCGATGACCAAAAAGTGTTGAACGTACAACGTCTTCCCCATGGACGGCGCCAACTGTCGGTGTAGAAAGTGACCAACATGTAAATATTTATAGTTTTGCCGTACGTTGTGATCGGAGGTGGCCTAGCACTCAATGACATAGGGTTTATACTGGTTCAGGCAATGTGCCCTACGTCCAGTTTGAGTCGATCGGTGACTTTATTCCTGAGCCTAGGTGCTCGAAGTCTGCAGTGGGGTTACAAACAAGAAGGAGAAAGATGGGGTGTAGAAGAGGTCCGGTCGGCTCCGGTTGGAAGGGCCGAGAGCGATAGGAACTCCGCTACGAGCTAAGTGTTCAAGCGTGCGCTTGAGGTTCGAACCTGGCGGTTCTACGGTTGTGGACTAATGAACTTGGTCGATCTAATGAATCTAAAAAGACTCTCCCCTATGTTGGAGGGAGCGCATCCCGTTTTATAGATAAAGGGGATGGCTTTATAAGTGAGAGGATGAGGGTACGTATGCTACTAAGCTTTGTTGCCCAAGCCGGTGGGTACAAGATAATGGTAGGCGCCCACAACACTGTTGATGTCACTGCAGAATGTCAGATGCATGTGGGAGCTTGCGTTGCCTTCTTCAGGAATGGCAGATATCGGTACCTGCAAATACTGCTGATGCCTAGAGGCATGTGAGAAGTTTCACCACGTTCACCCGGTACGGTAAATCCCGGCGCCCACAACACTATCGATGCCTAGAGGCATGTGGGGGGCCTTACCGTATGGGAGTTAATGATGCCCACATACTATAGAGGGAAATGTTGGCGCCTACAATACTGTTTGTGTCAGAACGGTTGCAGAGTACTGTTCCTGCAGGCGTACAGGGTATGGTCCCTGGTATCGTGGTTTGACTCGTGCGCCCTGATTTGCTTTCTCCGCTTGTCCCCTGGTCCTTTTAGAGCGGGCGCCCCGGTCGGATGGCCCCAGTCGGCTCTGGTTGCGCCAGTCGGAGAAGAGCGGTGAGCAGGGTTTCTGACGAACCCCGGTCGAAGTCGAAAGTAGTGCTTGGGCCAGGCCTTCCAATCGGAGAGGCCACCCGGAGGCGCCTGGAGTCCGAAGCGAGCGCTCTAGTCGGAGAGGTGGGCCGAAGTAGTCGACGAGCGGGTGTTGTTCCTCTTCGACCAGACCTTCCGGTTGGTGACTGGACCGCCCTTCGACTGTTGTTTTAGATTCTTAGACCGGCCCATGAGTTATGTGTTGTCTGCTTGGGCCAAGCCTTGGCGTGGAAGCCGGTCCCCGAGGGACCCCGGGTTTATGAACCCAATAGATTTATAGGGGCGACTTTATATCCAGCCGCCCCTACCAATCAGATTTGTAGGAGCGGCTCAATATTGAACAACCCCTACAAATAGACACTCGAGTATTAAAAATTAAGTACTAAAATTTAAATTTTATAAATGACCTCGAATGGAGAAACAACTAAAATAAAAGTTGTAGATCTCGAAAAGTTATGAAACTTTGTAGTTGACAACTTTTTGATTTGAAATCATCTTGTCAAGTAAAACTATGTTTGAATTTCTAAAAATTTGAAATATTAATTTTTTAAACGACCTCGGATGGACAAACAGTTAAAATGAAAGTTATAGATCTTGAAAAGTTTTAAAACTTTGTAGTTGATAACTTTCTCATTTGAAATCATCTTGTCATGAAAAACTACGTCCAAATTTCTCAAATTTGAAATTCAAATTTTATAAGTGACCTCGAATGGAGAAACTATCGAAATAAAAGTTGTAGATCTCGAAAAGTTATAAAACTTTGTAGTTGATAATTTTTTCATTTGAATTAGTTTAGGGCCTCAAATAATTAATTTATGTTCAGTTTTGTATAATATGTGGAGAATCAAAATGGATCGTAGATACAAGCGATCGTGATGTGCAGTGGTAGAGGAGTTTGCGCGCGAACGAGAGGTTGCGGGTTCGAATCCTGGCCGACGCAAAGTGTGCAAAAATCATGAAAAAAATGCTGCAACCATAGAATGGGTGGTGTGTCCGGCCGGTGGGGACCTCCTCGAATTAAAAAAAATGCTATTTTTTTGTCTTTTTTGTGATTTCTGAAAATTAATTTGTAAAGGCGGTCTGGAACCGTCCCTACAAATACATGATTTGTAGCGGTTACTCTCGTACCATAATAACATAATTCGTTAATTCAAGATGCAAACACCAAGCGAACAAGATCCAACTCCAAACAGCTAAAAGAACCAACGTGTCAATTTGGAAAATACATCAGTTAGTTTGTGATATATACTCAGTTTCAGTAGTACGTGCACCACGCTCCTTTTCGACTGGCTGGAGAATTATTGCATACGGAGTAGTATATCGTTACGCCTATCATGCATGCAGGGTCGTCGCCACAAGTCAAACCAGTCAATAGTCATGCATGGTGACCCCAATTAAATATCGTTACACACCTTTTGTACAGCTTTATTGTACGATACATGCATGCATGCGCGCAATGTCAGGACGGCATATAAGATATGAGTGATAGCCTTGCCACATCGTGATCACGATTCACGTGTAACATGCTGTCTGACTGCCGATTGTATCGATTGATGCTTTGCAATATATATAACCCCCTCTTCTAAAACGTAAGTTATTAGATTTGTCCTAAGTCAATTTTCTTTAGTTTTGATCAAGTCTTTTAAAAAATGTACTATAAACCTCTATAGTATCAGACTAGAATAATCACCATGAGATATATTTTGTCTGTATATTTACTTGATATTGTAAAAGTTAATTTATTTTTCTATACATTTAGTCAAAACTAGAATAGTTTGACTTAGAATAAAATTAAGGCTAAAACAATTACAATTTGAAACGGATGGAACATGTTTATTCTCTCCCGCTTATGTGTCTATGCTCAAAAAGCAAGAGATTCTAGAATAAAAAGCTTATTTAGTGTACCATTGAGTGTGTTTTATCCTCTTCAAACATAAATTTTAGGATCCTAAATTTAAAATCAACAATTGAAATCAACTTCATCCTTATTGTCTCCCTTTTTGTCTCTCTCCTTATCCATTCCAACCACCACACTCTTCCATTTCACCCACCTCCCCAACACTAGTATAAGAGAAGAATGGTTATGACGAAGTTTACTAATACCAGGAAGTTAGAAACCGGAAAATAAAAGAAAAACCATAAAAAGACACTACTCTCGGCCTATGAGAGGAGCAATCCCTCCATCAACCAAGCTTTGCCTCTCACTAAATGGAGGGAATATCAAAATATCTGAGACCATCGGAAACGACATTTTGTATAGGAAACACCAACCCTAGAACATAAGATGATTGGAAAAGGTTTAAATTTCTAGTAAGCATGAAAATGGTATAAGATGATTGGAAAAGGTTTAAATTTCTTAGTTCTACAATTTCTTTCTCGAAAACATAACCAAATACAAATATATTATCGAAAATGAATACGCATGTATAAAAAAAAACAAAAAAAATGTCAGATCGAAAACGCCCATGTAAGTCAGGAAATCGATAATCCTCAACAAAGCCACTAAACTATAGCACGACGTCGTAAAATCTGTGTTTGAGAAACCATTTTCTTTAAGGCATAGAAAGTTTTATTATAGAAAGGGAAATGGTTTGAAACTAGGCTTCAAAAATTGATTATTTGTGAATTGTCAAATTGTAATAAAACCGAGATAATCTGAAAAGTAGTTCAAAAATTAATCAAATAAATAAACAAATAGAGTTGGGTTATGTGTGGGAAGGGAAAAAAAGGGTATGTTGACAATAATAATTGACGAAATATGGCAAAACTTGGAATTTTGAAAGAGTCAAAGATTATCTTCGTTTTGACTGACATATTTGTTGTCATATCCATTTTTGCTTTACCCAAAAATGCGAGATCTAAAAAAAAATGAGCCCCCAGTAAAAATGGGTTTCCCACTTTTTATTTTCATTATCCCTACTGATTGGGATGTATAGGTCTTGAGAAGTTGTGATTTCTTTTAGGCCTCCGTTTGGATCTTTGGAATTGAATTCATTTTAATAATCATAATTTAGACACATATTAATTAATCTAATATAGTTGTGTATGGATTATATTTGTATATTATTGTTGGCTTTACGAGAGAGATAGTTATGTGTTGCATTTCTACTGTAGAGAGCGAGTTAAAGAGTGTGTTATAAATTGCAAAGTAGAAACATAGAATGATGATCTATACAATCAATTTTCATCTCTTATCCTATAAATTTGAGATAGGCTTATATGTGAACTTTGAAAATGATGGAATGTTAAATTTCAAACCAAATAACCTAATTTATTAAGTAGGTTTCCAATTCCTCCAAATAAAAGGATCCAAACGACCCCTCTACGGGAAAAGGAAAACTGTCAATGTAAAAAAGTGTGGTATGTCTAGGAATGTTATCGAAAATATCCTCTGCTTTTTCCATGCATAATTTCTGCAAAATTCCACGTCTCTTGCTCGACGATGATGATAGCATCAACAATTGGAGCGGCAGGGAGTACTAGAGGAGCAAGAGACAAGCAAGTGCTGGGCAGTGCACGCAAAAGGCGAGGCCCATGCTGCCATAAGCGCGCAATTGCCTGAAACGGGGAGTGGTTCGGAGCAGTTGGGTGCTGTGCTGTGTTGGAAATTGGAATGGAGCGGTTGGCCCCCTCGGCCTCCTCCCTTTTCCACCCGTCCTCCTATATGATCCCCACGCCCCCCGTGCCACTCTAACCACCGCACCTCCATCGGCATCCATCCACTCCCGTACGTACCTGAGTTCATTCCCTCCACCTGCTCACACGCACGCGCGCTAGCTACTTCCGGCGCGGCGCAGCTGTTTAGCTAGCTCACACACGCACGACTACGATGCCGAAGCCGTGGAGGCCGGTGCTGGCGTCGGCCACCAAGTGCTGCGCGGGGGAGGACGCGGCGGTGGCCCCGGACGGGCTGGCGCGGTGCCGGCCGCAGCAATCGGAGCTCTCGCGGCGGCTGGCGTCCTTCCGGCGGCTCTCGTCGCTGGCCAACAGCCCGGCGTCGTCGGCCGCCACCACCACCATGGCGGACAAGGACGGCAGCGTGAAGCAGCAGCAGCAGGGCGGCGGCGGAGGGGAGATGGCGGGCCCGCTGCAGCTGCACTCGTTCGGCCTCGGCGAGCTCCGCGGCGTGACGCACGACTTCTCCAGCAGCTTCCTGCTGGGCGAGGGCGGCTTCGGCGCCGTGTACAAGGGCTTCGTGGACGCCGGCATGCGCCCGGGCCTCGACGCCCAGCCCGTCGCCGTCAAGCAGCTCAACGCCGCGGGCTTCCAGGGCCACCGCGAGTGGCTCGCCGAGGTCATCTTCCTGGGCCAGTTCCGCCACCCGCACCTCGTCCGCCTCCTGGGCTACTGCTGCGAGGACGAGGAGCGCCTCCTCGTCTACGAGTTCATGCCGCGCGGAAGCCTCGAGAACCACCTCTTCAGGAGTAGGTGTCCCTGGTCACCATGGTGTGTTGCTCTCTTCAGGAGCCACCGACTTCACGACTTGCTCACCTCGATCTCGATCGTGTCTGCACTCTGCAGGGATCTCGGCGACGCTGCCGTGGGGCACCCGGCTGAAGGTGGCGATCGGCGCCGCCAAGGGTCTAGCCTTCCTGCACGCCGCCAACACGCCGGTGATCTACCGGGACTTCAAGGCCTCCAACATCCTTCTCGACTCCGACTTCACCGCGAAGCTGTCGGACTTCGGCCTCGCCAAGATGGGTCCCGAGGGCGAGGACACGCACGTGACGACCCGCGTCATGGGCACCCACGGGTACGCGGCGCCCGAGTACGTGCAGACGGGCCACCTGAACGTGAAGAGCGACGTGTACAGCTTCGGCGTCGTCCTCCTGGAGCTCCTCACGGGCCGCCGCGCCTTGGAGCACGTCCGGGGCCGCACCGCGCACGCGGAGCAGCAGGTGAAGCTCGTCGACTGGACCCCGCCCTACCTCAGCGGCGGCAGCCGCCGGCTGCGCTGCATCATGGACCCGAGGCTGGCCGGACACTATTCGGTGAAGGGCGCGCGCGCCGTGGCGCAGCTGGCCGTGCAGTGCACGGCGCAGCAGCCGAGGGACCGGCCGAGGATGGTGGCCGTGGTCGAGGCGCTGGAGAAGCTGCAGGGGCTCAAGGACATGGCTGTCACCGTCGGACTCTGGCCCGCCACCGCGCCTGTTGCTGGCAGGAACGCCATCTCGGCGAAGATCCGCGCCGAGGTCAAGGGCGCCGGCGCTGGGTCCCGGCGGAGGAGCGCGTCCTCCAAGATGCCTTGATGGATCTTCGACGACTGGTCCGACAGGACACCTGCGTGCCACGTCGTACGTGTCGTCGTGTACCGGGGTGTAGGAATCTTTCAGTATTGTATAATGTGCCCACGTGTGTGTGTGTGTATAGTATAGTACGTAAGATCTATACTACCGTATAGGTTAGGCGCCGAGATTTGGTGAGGCGATGGTCATGCGTGCCTCTGTATCCTCCATGAGTCACTGTACGATCCATACATATTGCTGCTGGATTCATCATGGTTCATGAAGCGATCGTTTTGTTTTGCGAATACATACCACACATACATACAGCTTGTTTTCTTCACATCCATTTCCTCTGTATCTCTCTTGTGCGTGGACAGACAATGCGGATCGATAGGAACGAATTGAAGTTTCTACTGCTACGCCGTCGTTCTCTCGAGTGTCGTTCTCTCGACGGCGACGTTGCTGCTACGCGACGACGACGACGACGGCGGACGCCCCGGCCCGGCGAACATCCATCGGCGCGGCGTGTCACTTTAGCGTAATCTTCCACGGCTTTACCTTTCTCCCACAACGGGATCGACGGGAGACCCCCGACGTACGGGTCTCCGTGGATCTAGCGCCATATACATGCCTGCGCCATATCTCGCGACGAGGTCAATCGGATCTTTCCGCGCGCGCACACGTGCAAAGACTGCCTAGCTAGCTATCGCACCTATCAGTGTAGATCTGTGTAATGAATACATACATGCTCCCTCCGTCCCACGATAAAAATCGTTATGAGATACGTGCAGGTCAAATTTTCTCAACTTTCATCAGTTTTATAGAAAATACGTGCAACATTTATATCTCCAAATAAATTTATTATAAAAGTATATTCAACGATCTATTTAACGGTATTATAAATACTAATATTCTTTTATATAATTGGTCAAAGTTTAAAAAAACTAACTTCTTGAGAAGCGAGAACGACTTCTATTTTGAGACAGGGGGAGTACTAGCTAGCTAGTGTTATGGTGTACCAACACACTTTTCTGACAAGTGCACTCACAAAAAATCAGCGAGAGAAATACATATATGTACCTTAAGATCATAGACATCTGTATTGACACGCAAATTGTTGTGGAAAAGTTTGACCAATTGTGAACTACATGCAGAAGATAAATTTCTAAGAATTATGCGATTCATGTGTCATCGCCAAATTCCAAATGTCACCATTGGAGACGAGATCCGGGCTACCGCAGTCTCCAACGACCTCCCGTGAACAATCGTGAGGTTCAAGGTTAGGATCTTGGGCCTTTGTTTTGAATTTGAATTCAGACATTTGTGGTGGTAGTTCTAGGTTATAGAGGGATGTCGAGCGAGGTTACTAGCATGCATGTCAATGGAAGTATACAAAGAGTCGGGACTTTATTTGGTTCAGACCTTGTATGGCTCAGGCAAGGCAACAACCTCAGACGATCTTGAGTGTATGTGGTTGGATGGAGCTGCGCGAGCCAGACAACATTCTCAGGCTTGAGACACCATCCACATTGGTGCTTGGGCTATTGGATAGGGACGACAACAATAGCATCGTCACAAAGGGGATGTTTAGATTCTTAGCCCAGCACTGAGCTAGGAATCAGAATGAGCAGGATGTTTGAAGCTAATAGCTTAGCTAACTTTGATTTCTGTGCGGGCAAGCTCTTCTTGCTGGCTTATGTGAGCTAAATTGGCTCTCCTAGCCTAGCAAGCATCTCGTTGCTTGTGCCAGGTGAGGCAAGGACAAGTTTGCCCAAAACCAAGCACGTCCAAAAGCCACCGACCAAAGCTGAAACAAAAAGGGGCCTAACCTTACTGCACCCACAGTCAACCTACCGAATGGAACGTTTGCAACGGACCGGAGCTTCATAAGACTGTTTGGAAGGCAGTTTTCTTTACCGGGAAATTAGCGGATTCACCGCATGAATTCTGCACGAAACGTTCATCCACGCGTTCTTGCTCGATGGTCTGGTCATCAGCAACAGCAACTCAGCAAGGTGGGAATAGGCGCGGCACCGTACTGGCGAGGCCTTTGGCTGGCCAAGTCCCGCCGGCCGTGCCTCCCAAAAGCCGGGCATCTTGAAACAGCAACAGTGGCGTGCCGTGTTCCTCCGGGTAGCAGCTCGGAGGGGCGGACGGCGACGGCAGGCGGGGCCAGGGAGACGTACGCGTGCGTTGCTGCGTCTGACGACCCAGCTGCGTGGAGACAATTAGACAAACCGTGCGTGCGAGTGCGAGGCGCAGCACAACCGCACAGAGGCGATCGACGCCGATCCGCGCGGACCCGGCCGCCGCGACGGCGAGTGCTCGCGCCTCACGGCAATCTCCGCGGGAAGTCATCTCGCCGTCTCGCGGCGGATTGGTCCGCATGCTGCTAGTGCTAGCCGACTCGCGACCGCCACTGGTAGCATTGGGTCAGTCCACGCTGCGCCGCGCCGGTCGCCGGCCCCCTGTGCGGCTGGGCCCCGAATGGCAGCGGCACGCACACGGACAGGTGGTGACCGTCACGCAATGCTAATGCTAGAGCCTAGCGGTGACATCACGCCCGCCTCTCGCTTTCCGCAGGAAATTACACTATTCCTGCTCCTGCAGCCGTGCATGCACAGGAAACCGGATAGATACTGCGGTGCGGATCAACAGCATGATCGTTTGTCTGTAGCTTGTTGTTAACGATTGTAAATTTTCAGCCGGAACAGTATTTTTCTCTTACACAAACCAGGCAGCAGTACTTCTTTATGAACCAGCAACGAAACGAATCAGCCAACCGAACGTGCTGCAAAGCTTGAAAATGTGCTTTTTGACATGTCGTTGATGATCCAAGTCTAGAACATATATCATGCATGTGCTCTTTGGTTTGATCGCGTTGGGGAACCGGGAAATTAATAGGCGATTCTCCAGTGTCCCCAAAACTGTACTCCCTTTAGTTTCAAACAAAAAAAACCCTGTACTCCCTGTGCTTGTCATTTGTCGCTGGAAAATTTGGTTCGAGCGAGTATTCCCATTCACGACGCTTCTTCCCCACCCCGTTGTTTTGATATTTCTCTGCTGATTTTTCTCCCACGTGAAAATTGAAAATTCAGTTTCCTAGCGGTGATTTCACATGATCTGATTTCTCGTTTACTTAGGATTCCAAAAAGGTGTACTGAACCATGATCACTGTCACTGCCCAATTGCCCATAGCCCCATATGTTTCAGACAACTGACCTATATATATAGCGCTAAAAGCACTGAAAGCTTTGGCAACAAACCTTGCTGCTATGTGCAAGAATACACGCATATATTATATATATGATAACACCATCCCTTTGCGCGCGGTCACCATCTAGCAACCCCGAAGGAGAAGATACGATGCTGCTATGCATACATTCGCTGTAGTACCATGCTTGCATCCATGAGAATACAACTTCTTAATTAGCAAACATTGACTTCCCTTTATTTGCTAAGTCTCAACCGCATGTAATCTTTAATGAACTTTGAGAAAGCTCACTCTTTTAGCTGATCAATTCCATTCAATTGAAGCACAACAATAACGTCTCAGCGAATGCCTGGCTGGAATTCGTATTCCTGCATTTTTATTTCCATACGCCTACAGAAGGGCCTGACGGAATGGCCCAATCACGTGCTGGGCTGGAACTTTAGTTCATTGCTGGGCCGTCGCGAACAGGCCGTACAGGCAGTAGAATCAACGTGCCTTGCTATCTGTTTCTGTACCCGGCCGGCGATTCCCTGGAACCATTAGCTAATGGAATTTTGCTTCATATTGCCGTATATGTATATTTTTTTATAAAATGAATAGACAGGAGATGTGACGACCCGTTTGTTTCACGTCAATGTAACGTGATTTGATTACTGCGGGTAGCAAGATCCCATTATTTAATGTTTGTTCCCGCCCTCATGGAATGAATCATACTACAAAACTCATACAGCTGACTGCTCCAGTCTCAGCTTAGGCCCCTTTCGGTTGCATGGGAATAATTCCCAGCCGAACAGCTCCTTCACTATTTTTTTATGGGTCACCTTGGGGAAAAAGAATTCCCCACCTGAATATATTGCATCGGAGTGGTAAGGTAAATTACCGCTCAAAGAGAATACAAAAGAGTACGCACACTTACAACACAACACCACCAACAACACATGCGAGACAGAGCTGAGGGCAACCACAAAACACAGAAAGGGGACACAAAGAACTCCCATGATAAGCAAGTAGTTGTTCACCGGCTAACACCACCACCAGCGGCTGAACTCTAGCGACCTCCATTCCAACGGCGACTGTGAAGCTTCGAGTCAAAATGACTGGCGACAGTCGTGATTACAATGTCTTTGAAGCACATCTAGGACCCGGTTGACGCCCGCCAACGTCCATTAAGGGGAGGAAACCACAATGGAGGGAGAGCCGACAAAAGGGGCGCGAGGAGATCCAAGAGAGGGGATCATGGTCTCGTTACCGGCATTTGATGAGACAAGGCAATCAGGGATCATGGAGAATGGCAAAGCTAGGACACTGGCGGTATAGTTTGCAGGTTAGAACTTGTATATAATTATTAGAGAGGGGGATGGCTGGAACCTCGGCGTAGGAGGGTGCAAATGATCTCCCAAGCAACGCCTTCAGGAAGAGAGTGGCATCGAAAGATGCCACTGTTGCTTGTCCGGATACACCGGTTTGGGTTTTCACCTGGAGATCAAACTCAACAAGATGGAAGATGGAAACTCGACGACGCCTCCAAGAAGGAACATGTCACAGGTGACACGGCAGGGCACAAGACGTCTTCTCTTTAGCTTGGCGTATTTTGCATTGTTGCTTTGTAATCAGAGTCTGTCGTGTGGGCCATAGGCCAGCGTCGTGTTACCGGCATACAAATGCCAGAACTCTGTAAGAGAAACATCATCGAAGAAAAGTAATACGAACACGCTAAGGCAAGGGGATACCTCGCCGGCGTTTCTCTCTCCCTGATCTATGCCATTTGTAGTGCTCACGTCGACGGCTTGACGCCGGCGGCCACGGGTGT